TCATTCCTTGTTTGTGAAACTAAATCACAGAAAACAGGATCTGAAGGCTGACTGAGGGACACCCGTCCATCATGGGCAGCATCAGAGGAAACTACAGCAACGCTTCTTTCCTTCACACTGCTAAAACCATCTAGGAAAAAGTTAAAACTCCTTAAATTAAGTGTATTTACTCTTAATCTGAGCAAATAAATAAGCTTATTTGCCAATGGAATGAGTATTTTATTCTTAAAATAAGATCATTAGATAATATGCACTTGAACTGAGACAATGCAGTTGTTTTTTCTTATTTTAAAGGTAAATCGTCTTGTTCTATTGGCAAAATGTCTCTTTTACCTCCTTAATAAAAAAATAAAAAAAAACATTTATTTGAAGAAAAAATGACTTATTGAGATTTACATTTTTTGCAGTTTATATATAAAGCTGACTAAAAGCTTCTCCATTATTAAACTGGTACATTATTGTTTTAGGTTTGTGACACTATATTGGAAAATGGAAAACAGATTTACCTTCACAGCCTCAAAACGGCGAGATTTATGGACAAAAAGTTAACCTGGACATGAAATCATGTTTTGTTTTTATAAAGTGTTTTTATTGTGTTTGTTGTTGTTGGCATTCATATAAATATACGGGTGTGATAACTCAGTACAGGTTTGATTGGTTTTTGGTATATTTTTAATTTTTCCTGGGAGGAAACCATCAGCCGCCACTGCTTGTAAGTAGAAAACCTTCTTTCAATTTGGGGACAAAATGAAGCCATTCAGCTCATTATTATTGTTTTATATTATTTTTTTTCATTGATTTTATCCACAATGGTTCATGTTAAAAACATGAATGATAAATGTTTTGATCAAAGGCTGTTCATAAGTCTTCACAACTTTTCTTGGAGCAGATTCCCTTTGATGAGGTGAAAGTACACCTGGCTCAGTTCCCACTCAAACCTTTGCTGCTTCAACGGTTAAAGTCTGCTATTAGAAAAGGATTTTTTAATTTAGCAAAGTGTTTAATAAGCATAAAGAAAAGTTTTTCTTAATCCGTCATTATAGCAGCTGCAGTGGACAGCAGATATTCCCTGAATATTGTAGGTTTGCATGCAGGCCCGATGACAGTGAAAATATTATGCATTTATTTTCAGTTCTGCATTTCAGGCGGAAATAGATTTGAGCTAAAAGTTAAATATAGTTACAACAGAACTGAAATTTTTTAAGAGTCATCTGGTTTGAATTTTCACAAAAGAACAGTTTTTTTTAACTATGTTATATTTTCACACCAGTTGCCCAAAACATAAAAATCCATAGAGAAGAAAATGATGCTTTTATTTTTTGTAAAAACACTGAATGAGGCGGAGGTTCTTTAAACGTGAGGCTGTGTTTGCGTTGAGCTGGAAGGAGGCAGCGAACGCTGCAGACCCCTGGGGGGGGAGAGACACTCACCACACGTACATGAGCACCATGGTCCTGAGGCGCAGGACGGGATGGAGCACCAGCTGCAGGACTCCGCCCCCGTTCCTCACAGGGCTGCCGGGTTTGGCGGCGCCAACGCGCTGCAGCATCAGGTGGGAGGCTTTGCTGCCGTTCCTCGCCGCCATGTAGAGCAGAACCTCAAATTATAAGAGAGAAAAACAGAAATGAGAAAGAATAAAGCCTGATGAAGCAGATCAGGTTATATGACTGGAAGTGTGGTTTGAAGACATGATGAAGCTCAGGGAACTAAATCTGCCCCTAAGCCTGAGAAACTACGGTGGCCCAGAGGGAAAACTTAATGCTATCCAACATTTTGCTCTCTCTGTGTCTGCTTCTGTCTCCTTGAACCCCAGTGGGCCTCAGCAGATGGCCGCTCACACTGAGCCTGGTTCTGCCGGAGG